TTAACACATGCGGTAGATTCGGATTATTTCGATCATGTTAGGACTAGCGTCCCATTTAAGTGGATCAACTCTATTTAATCAGAATCTACTCTTCGAATCTTGCCCGGAATAAACGGCTGTTTCGATTAAACAGTAGATCGAATAAGCGGAATGTACGTTTGCAGCCAATGTTACGAAATTGATAACAAGTTTTTACGAACTGATCACGGTAAATCCTTCCGTATTGGCGCTCGGATTGTGTACACAAAATTTGGGAAGAGTAGGTACGAGCCTCGAGGCTTGTTTTTATAGTCGTGAAAAATTAGTAACCATAAAAACGAGCCGCAAGGCACGAATCCTCTTTGTCCATTTTTTTGTACAATCTGAGCGTCAATTAGGGAGAATTCACTGTACCTAATTTACCGATTCCCCGCCATTCGAGATAAGATTCGTTTTCACTTCTGTTAATGTAAAAATGGCTGTTTACCTGTATATACAAACAATTGAATTAAATTAAAATTATAATCAATCGATTTATAATAAAAAATTACAATCAATCGATTTATAATATATCGATGTTTTAATAATTATTATAAATATATCGAGAACTTTCGCTCGCGAACAGTATCCTCGGTCCAGTTTAATTCAAGTCCGCACGCAAGAATTTGTCGTATGGATGGTTAAGGTGTTCGCGACAAAAGCCATCGGAACGAGCGTAATCGGGTTCAGTCTGGTTAGCCTCGTTTCGGATCCGTTGTCGGTGGAATTTCCGGTGTTTTCGGAGAATCTGCCGATCGATCGGCGGCGGCCAGTCGAATCTCGAAGAGCGACACGGTTGCGACCCATCGGGCCAGCGTAATTCGACTGCGAACCGTTTCGAGGCTGATCGATGCACCGGGCCAACTCGCTCTCGCTCGATCCGGAACCGAGAGACACGATCGAAGCAGCGAGCATCGAGCTCTCGCTCGTTATCAAACAACGTTCTATCGATCCGGTCGGCAGGCACGCGCGCGCGTTCGACTTCGCTTCGACGCGTATCGATTATTCGCGGACCGGCCGATGATCCAGTCGGCGAAACACTGCATCGAGTGCACGCGCTTCTGCAGCGTAAGGAAAGCCCAAAGGTCCCTCGGGACGAGACGCCAATAATTCGACAAATCCGCGGAGCCGGTTCGCGCGGTCTCGATTGAATTAGGATGAACGGATCGATACCTCGTTTCGTTTTTAGCTGCCGTCGCATCTGGCCGATCGTTAATTTAACACGAGAAATTGAAACTAGGTGAGCTGCGCGGAGCATTATTTAATATTAAGAAGCCCGCTATTTCGGTGCCGTCGGAACTCTGTTACCTCCGCGAATGAAACAATTATGCATGGAACGTGTAATACCGCGGATTCGTTGCCTCTAATAGAGATTTAAGGTTCAGCCGGGACGTTAGCGGACTCCGACATGTTATCGCGAAGCACGGGGATTTCGTTTCAGGCGTTGAAACAAGAAGATTCAAAGTCGCGGCCTCGCGTGTATTCAGCGCTAACGAAGCCGAGATAATGTTCATTTAGCCACGGCCACGGAAACGATACCCGTCGTCGCGGCAGCGGTGTTCTTTTTCGATCTCGTCGACGAAATACGAACCGCAGCCGCGCCGCACGTTTCGAGGGAACAGGCTCGCGTAACGCAGGTGCTCGTCCAAGGTTTTCGCTTTCGCGTGCTTGACGCACCTACGTCGGGCAGAATTCGAAACAAGCTGAAACGAGAATAGCTAAGCGGCTCATCTCGTCCAGGATGAGCACGCTCTCGCTGTAGATTGCAGTTACCGCCAAAAAACTTCGTTTAGCGGAACGAGATTACTGCAGAGTTATTTTGTCGTATTTTTTAACACCATTTTTACAGATTTTATACACGTTTGCGTGCTCCTGGAATTTGTATAGTTTTGCCAAATTTATTTTGTAATCATTATAGGAGAAGTTGCGAAGTCCCTTTAAAAAGAAATTAATTAGGAATTAATAATAAATTAATTAGGAATAAATAATTCAGGAATTAATAATTTTAAATTATTCTAAAAGGTGTAACTCTTTTGGTAAAAATAAATCGTTGAACGAACGATTTTACAAGATATCTTTTAACCTGTAAAAATAGCGTCGAGCAACAAATTTTTAGGGGCGTCGACTAACCGTGTTAGTAAAAATAGCGTTAAACAAAAAATGTTGGAAGGTGTTGTTTCACCTCTCTAGTAAAAATAACGTTCAATAAAAATTTTGAACAATGTCTTTCGACCAATCTGGTAAAGATAGTGTTAGTAAAACATTTTAAAAACGGTATTTTGACCCTCCGGTAAAAATACTAATTATATTAATAATCCTAACCCTTTGCACTCGAAACTCTTATATATTTATTTCTTCTATATTTAACTCTAAATATAAAATCATTTTTCTAACTTATAGCATTTCTATTTTATATGACAAAATGCATTTTATGCACATGAAATTGACACTTGGGACTCGCACAACGGTTAAACTTTTAACAATTTTTTAAATCTAATCTTCTTTGATATAAAAGTTATCTTAAAGCGTGGTATAACAAATGTTAGTGGTGTTTTTTTGCACCCATTCGAGTGCAAAGGGTCAATATTAATATAATACATAATCTCTGGTAAAAACAGTATTAAGTACAAAATATCTGTGTAATCCCTTCGGAGAAAGCAGTGTTATGTACAAAATATGTAAAAGATGTTCTTAACTCCTTCGGTAAGATGAAAAGTAACCCCCACCGTTCCAGCCCGTGTTACGTGTAAATCTGTCGAGGATGAGCGAGCCCGAGGCTCGTGGCCCGTCAGGCTCCCGAAACGACGGGCCAATTACCAATGTCTGACCCTGTAATTAGGTTCGCGCTGCTGGTAATATCGTTACCCGGTAAGCGTTGCAATTTCCCCGTGGCCGTTTCCGTGCCCTCCGCTCCGCACCGTCGTCGATTTCAAGAAAACACCGCGGAACGAGAGGAGTCCTACCGAGAGCTGCCTAATCGTTGCTTGCCCTGCGGGGCAACTAGAAGCATCGGAGCGGCCATTATTCTTCCTCGTTTCTTCCGCGGAACCTTGATCCATCGTAGCCTCTCTGTTGTTCGGCACTGATTTAGCGTCGGATCCTCTCTGCACCCACGTCTTTTTGTGGCGGGCACGCGATCGATCCGCTTCCCAATCAAATAGCCAGTTCCAATCTGGTTCGTTCGATGCTTGGAACGGAACAGATCCCTCGGAATGTGTTTACGAAAAGCTGCCGCTCTCTCGTCGCGATCATCCACCGACGTTTCTCGGTCGGCCGACGGTGGAAGGTCGAGCCGCGTACATGGAAAATGGATCCCTGTTTCTGACCCACTTCCGCTCCTGAACCGTCGAAGACATCTTCATACGTTCCCCTGGATGTATTGGGTTGGCAACTAAGTAATTGCCGATTTGTTCAATGAAATAAAAAATTTTTTTTACTTGGAATGAAGTTTCATCTGTAATGTATTTTCCATTTTGTTCGATGACCTTTTGCCGTCTCTCTGACAACTTGAAAATTCCACGCTCGTAGAAAGTCTGATCCTTTTCGGCCAAAAACTGAGTTAAGTGAGATTTTACAGCGTCATCATCATTAAAAGTTTTACCACGAAGGGAGTTGTCCGGGGATCGAAATAAGTGGTAATCCGATGGCGCGAGATCGGGGCTATATGGTGGGTGTAACATCAATTCCCAACCAATATCCATCAATTTTTGCCGAGTGGACAAAGACGTGTGCGGCCTAGCATTGTCCTGATGGAAAATGACACCTTTACGATCGACCAATTCTGGTCGCTTTTCCTTGACCGCTGCATTCAATTTGTCCGGTTGCTAACATTCACGGATGATAAAAAATAACATAATAATAATAATTTTATAATATAACAGTTACGGATATTATAAAAATGGGAGTGAGAGACATCTATAACTGAAATCGGCAATTACTTAGTTGCCAACCCAATATATGATTTTGTAAAATCTGAGTCGGTTTTATAAGGCTTCGAATTGTAATAAAACGATGGTTAACGCTCTATGACCCAAATATTTCATATAGGTATACTCTATATAATAATTTAAACCTAGCAAATATATATTAATCTCGAGAGAGGCAAATTAATGACGAATTCACGATTTTAAAAAACATTGCGATGCACAACGTCCTGGATTACCATAAGGAGATGGGAGATAACGAAGGCAAGATACTTTCGCCACATTGCTGCTAAAAGATAAATTTTCTTGTTATTAGCGCAGTAGTTTTTACAATATTTGTCTGTCGAGGACAATTGGTAAATTGAATCATTGACAGCATGTCACGTAAAAGATACTGTTTCTCAGTAGAAAGCCTCGGAAATTAACAATTTAATTAGACTAACAGAACTTGATAAGTTTGTACGTGACGTCAAAGTCACATTGTGCTATAAAGGATTAATAATTATCCCCTAATAACAATCTCAAAGGACATAATTACGTTACGTTACTGGGGAAAACTTCTTGGTTCAGAAATGAAATTGTTATCGTTACTGGAAAAATTAAGAGATCTGTAATACGATAAAGATAAACTGAAAGAAAAATCGATTTCCCTTGAATCTGAGATTACTTCACCCCTTGAATATTCTTTGTTGAAGAGCGTCCGAGACAAGGGTTGCTCGCAGATCGTAACGCTTCCAATTCAAATCGGACTCGGGTGACTCTAAAACAGGGGTGGCCAAACCTTTGATCACTACGGGCGACCTGTTTTTTTAAATTATAGGCGGCGGTCTACCAATATCGCATGCGTTAAGTAATCATAAAAGTGCAGTAATTTAAAGCCAAAAATAAGATCAAATTAAAAATGAAGAAGATAATATCAGACAGGCCAGCCCTGCTCTAAAACATGATCACCAGTTGTCCGATAAAGAAAAATCGATTTCCCTTGATCCGTGGAGCGCCACGCATTTTTGTGGATGTTTCGCGAGGATCTTTATCTAAGAATCGAACTATCTGTTGCAGTGGCGTGGCAATTTCCTGCGGGGAGTGTAGCAGCAGCGGCACCAGCGATATCACCGAGCCTGGTTCGCCTTGTAGCACGAGTAGCGACGAGGGGGTAGCGATACGTGGCGCGTCGGCCAGTCCACTTCCGTCCCTACCCAAGCTGGCGCCTTCGTCGCAGATTGGTACCAGGCCCCAGTGGCCCTGGACCCCGCCGTTGGCGGCCACCGCATGTTCGACCTACAAGAGGCTCAAGGGCGAGCCCGAGGCTGGTGCCGTCCCGAGGTCCGGGGCCGCGGATCCCAGCTTCCGAGGGATCAGCAAGTCGAGCATCACCAAACCGAATGCCGGACATCATCATCATGAGACCCAAGGGAAGATCACCGAGTACTTTAAAACCCAGGTCAAACCACAACAGCTCAAGGTAGCGTACCCTTTACGTTTGTATCATTCGTTTCGTTCTTCGAGAACGCAGGGTGCCGTTTCAGGGTGCCGCGTTCGGAAGACACACTTCGTCTCGTAACGATAGAACCGCCCCAAAATATTCAGTTTTCATACATTGTGGTTAATATGATAATCAGACCGCGGACTTTATGCATTTGTGACAAAAATCGGTAGACGAAACAGGAAACATTCATACTATTGGACAATTTTAATAATTTGATTGCATTATTTATAACTCGTTAAAATTGTACAAGACGAGAATAAATGTTTACGCAATTGCTGTTTTTGCATAAAGATCCGCAGTGTAATAATAATAACGAATGAAATATGCCATGTTCGAAATCGTATTGGGAAACAACGTATCTTTCTAGAAACACGGATTATTATTATTATTTATTTATGGGCTACTGAATCATTTTTTAAGTCATACGAAACGCACATAATCCGGAACAAAATAAACGTTACAGAGAACGAGATTTTACGACAGATAAAATCAGACTCGGGGTGTTTCCAAAGAAATTAAGTTCGTTGCTGTTTATTATGTTTACACTGAAACGAATAGACAGCAAAACAACGATTCCTTCATGTTTCATAACTATGAAACCAACCTTCTGAAGGTAATTTTACGTAAATAGATCGTCAATTTTGTTTTAACAGAGTCTGATTGGAATATATTTGGACTCATTGAAAATGATGGTGGACCCACGCGTTACTAAATTATTGTTATCATTTCAGCTTATTGTACTTTGCGTTGAGTTTTTGTGTAACAAAGCGTTCAATACTGTTGGTTGTACAGTTACGAAATAGGATGCCTTTTTTACTGAATAAAATGTATCGCTATAAGTTTTTCGGTGCGATCTCAAATATGGCATACTTCATTCATCGTTGTATTAACTACACAATGTGTACGCAGTGTATAAAAGTGACACTTGCTAGGTAAGAGTAAACGATGGTTATAGTTCGCGAATGCTAAGCGAGGACGTTCTATCCGGAAAGCCGGAAGCCTGTGCTAGGTGATTTAGACGAAGACCGGAGTTGGAATAATCGAGGAACAATGGCTGGCGCCTTGTTCTGCAGCAAATAAATTCATCGCCTACTCCCTAGTATAGTCTCGTAACTTCTTGCACTGTAACAACGCGTCAAACTCGAAATTGAAACAAAAGTTGATTTTTATGTCATAAAAGTCTAGGAACGAGAGCAAACGAAGACATAGAAGACCAGTTTTACGTTTTCATTTTAAAGTTGTCGAAGTTGTAAAGATTCATTCATAGCAAATAATTGAATCAATATCTTCACGCAAGCATACATTACGATAAAAATAGTGAAAAGTCTCCATAAATATATTACTATACTCTCGTTATCGTTATGAAGCAACACGCGTCACTCTGACGCTAATTAACCGCTAATCAACGCTGTTGTGAAAGAAAATCGTAGTGCAAGAGGTTAACGAATATGTTCCACATTGTCGAGTGCAAATAGAATTTGGATCCGACTTGAATCGTCGATGCAACGGAGGCCCCAAAAATCTCTATACAGGATGACCCAAAAATGTCTCGTAATCCGGAAATAAGGGATTCCTGAGATCAGTAACTTTTTCCTTGGCGGAAATGCAATCCGCTTTTTCCTTTAGGAGTTATTAACGAAAAGCAGTGACCAATAAGAGGCGAGTACGACTGACACGAGGCACGAAGTCCAGTTCCGCTCATTGGCTCAGCCGTCCCGCGCCAGCTGGTCTCGCCTCTCATTGGTCACCGTTTTTCGTTAATAACTCGTAAACAAAACGGCGGATTGCATTTCCGTTAAGGAAAAAGTTACTTTAAATGACCTCAGGAACCCCCTATTTGCGGATTGCGAGACATTTTTGGCACACCCTGTAGAATGTCCATAAATCGATGAGAAATCGAATGTTCCGAGCGTATCTCGGTTATCTTGTTGGGAATAGTATTGTGACGGATGACGTGTGACCCCTTAGATCAAAAAGAGCAGCGAGGCGATGTCGGTGCTGGTTGCGAAAAGCTCGTCGGAATTCAGGAGGCCACCCACGGTGCAAAGGAACAAGGGAGGACTGGCAAAGTACTTGGGCACCATCTCGCCGAACGGACGGAACGCTTCTAGCAACGACTGGGAAGTGCGAACATTAACGATGTCGCCGCCGCCAACGAAAAAGACGCCGCCGGTAATCGCGCCAAGGACCAATGGTAAGATGGACAAGAAGTTACCAAAACCGGTGCCCAGTTTGCCCATCTCTAATGACGTATTGAAGAATATACCGAGCTGCAAGATATCGTCGATGAGGTAGGTGATGGTTCAACTAGAGACCGAGTTATGGGCACAGGTGTGACGGTCGATACATCTAATCTGAATACAACGTCGATCGAGGTACGGAACACCTATGATCTACGATGATCACAATTTATATACATTTCATTTTTATTCAGTTATTTTTCATTCACATAGTCAACCATAAGACAGACTACGATCTTCGCCATGAAAAGAGAAGCGCATAACATGGAGCGAATAGATCACAATACTAATCGTATTTCTTGCCACAAATCTAGGTTGACATCCTCCGCAGAGGCGAGCCCGACCACGAAGACGGTGTCCCAGCAGTCGACGCCGACCCCGTCGGCGACCACCGAGGCGACGCCGCTCGACTTCAAGGGCTGCATCCTCTCGAAACCCCACGTGAACGAGAACAACAACCTGACGAACGGTTGCGCCGGGATCTTGGGCTCATTGAGGTCACAGGGTACTCAGGATCTGCTGTCGAGGCTGCAGGCGCCTGAGGACACCGAGGCAAAGGCGACCCAGGTCAGCCCGGCGGACGAGGACGACGACGTGGAGGAAGAAGAGGACTCCCGAAGCAGCGAATCGAGGAGCAGCGAATCGAGGAGCAGCGAGTCAAGAAGCTGCGAGTCCAAGCCTCCGCTCTCTCCCATTCTATCTGCGCCAACTACCATACGGTTTCCGGCCAGGGAACCTGAAAAAGACAGGCAGCAGACGACCGACAGCGGAGTCTGTCGGTGGGACAAGTGCGAGGAGAGCTTCGAGTCCAGCTCGGGTCTTCTTGAACATTTGCAGGTACGCGTTTCTATTCGGAGACCATTAGGAGGTCTTTTCTGCGAAAATTTATCTTTAAGACTTTGGTAGGAGTCGAGCCAGGAGTCGCGAAGACCAGTCCAAGTTATATATATACAATTAAAATTTCATAACAATCACTTTTTCTCGTTTGAATCCTTCTGTCACCTTTTCCTAACTCGAGTAGGTGGAGCCGGTTACTGTGTGATGCCTAATTACTGCGCCTTTAGTTTGCTCTCGGTCATAATAGAAAGTTAGATTCTTTTATTCTTTCATTTTGTTTTCTAAAAGAAAAAAATTTCAGATCTCTTATTCGATCAATAGAAAGTTAAATTTATCTTTTAAGAAGAAAATTTAATACGTCTCATAAGTAGAAAGTTGAATTCTTCTACTCTTTTGTTTCGTTGATTTTTTAGTCAAATAAATTGAATATTTGTCATTCGTTAAATATAAAGTTGATTGTATCTGAAAACAAACAAAAGGCACAGCAATTGGTCACCTTGTAATGACCGGCTCCACTGTCTTATCCAATAGATTTTTTTAAAGGCATTGCTCTTGGTACCGTTACGCCGTGAACGATGAAAGAATGGGATCCCCTCCACAAATAATCCTTCTACTGTTTCTTCATAACTCGACGTATATTGGAACAGGTCACAATCAGGTACCAGAAATCGTACAACAAGAATCGCGTGTTCGAATAACATAACTATGAGTTTGTAAATGAGAGTGAGGCTCGTTGAGAAGGTTCCTAGCTACCTCATAATGGGTCATTAGGCTTAAATTCTGTCGTTGGATGTGTCACAGGCCACGCAAGCCCAAATATCGGATTCAGCATTTGGGCAAAAGGTCGAAGATAAGGTTTGAGTCATCCTGTTTTGCTAATAGCTTATCTAAAAAAAGAATAACGCAGCACAACGGTACCGAGTGAGTCAGTTGTCGAACATTAGTCAAATTCGTGCTCGATTAAAATCCACTATAAATCCACATTTTATTATTTATACTCTTATCTTTTGTTATCATTTCCCTAACGCTTAATACCACTTTCCCATAAAACATTGCTCTTGGTGCCAAAGAAGTTCGCTCCGGACGGAGCGAACGTTTCAGCGTTTCATTGTTCGTACCTGTAAATTGCAATAACCTGGAAGCTGCTTCTTCTCGGTGAACGCTGATAAAAGAAAGGGTCCTCGCCGAAAGATCGGCGTCCGGTAACAGGAAAAACGAGCTCGCGCTCGTGTCGGGTTACCCGCTGCCACAATGTTGCGGAGCCCGAATTGTTGTAATCGACACTGTGCTACCGCGTATCGAGAGCACGGTTCCCCTCACGAGCCTGGAACCGAGTGTATGTATAACCGGGTGAACAATTTGTCGTAGGCGGCACACATTAACACGCAGACGGGCGGTGACAATTTCGTCTGCCAGTGGCAGGGCTGCAAGGTGCAAGGGAGGAGTTCCTGCTCAAGACGGTGGTTGGAGCGGCACGTGTTGTCCCACGGCGGCAACAAGCCGTTCCGGTGCATCGTCGACGGCTGCGGCAGCAGATTCAGCTCTCAGGTATAGGAGTTGTATCTCGGTTACCTCTCGCGACAGTTCTAGCGAAGATAAGTTGAAAGTGCGGTGTGATTTGTAACGTATACGCGCCACGTTGCGTCCACGGTGAATCGTTGTTGAATCCGGTACTCTCGTCGAAAACGTTGTGGATTGCGAAGGAACATCGTATTATTACGGACAATGTATCTCGTCTCTTCCGTGATGTCGTCGGAACCTCGGTGTTCACAGACCGAACATAATCGAACTCGAACTAATGCGATTCTTTTTCCTCCCATAAGGCGTCCAACCGGCGCGCTAGAACGTACCAGAGGACGATGTTTTCTCTGTATTGTCGATCTCTAGACGTGTTTGGTAATGTATCATGGGTTTGAATCAGGGACTACGCGGCTGCTCGCCGGCCGCTGGTCCATGCCACGAGGACGCCAAGATGACACACTGTGCAGTTCCGATTTTTTCTTTTCTTTTGTGACTATATCGTTTCGATAAGACGAGAAACCACTGCTCGCCAGAAATCTCGATGTACTCCCTGGTTCGCGTCCCTAGGCTAATATAAGGCCCGTGCTCGCAGAACATTGTAAGAACAGTCCGCGTTTTCCCGCTCGTCTGAACATCCTTCATTGGTCGGCCGGGGTCTCCTGACTCGCGACGAAGGCTCTTCGAACGACGTCTATCGTCTACAATGCCGACGTCGTGTGGCCGAAGCAATCGCGTCTCGGTTGCCTCGGTCATGCTGTCTTCGGAAGACGGGCATTTTCCAGGGACAGCAACTGTTGTCCGCCCACAATTTCTCTCGTCTCCTGCACAATCTCTCGTCGCATGATCTCTGGGTGTCGTCTCTCATCGTCCATCCTTCTTGCCTTGGAAACGATCGTTGCGCACTACTACGAACAGAGTCAGATCCATTGGTGTTGTACTCCATCAGTCATTGCACAAGTTGGATGCAGCAGAATCGCTACGATTCGAAAAATTCTTCTGTTTGGTGGCCGGGACCGTTTGTCTATCCCTGGAAGGTGCCAAAATTCTGCCCACTCACGGCCTGTCTCTACCTTCCAGACCGCTCTCGAGAGGCACGTCAACGGCCACTTCAATCAGCCGGAGACCAGCAACAACTCCGGGAGGCGCAGCTGCGAGAGCGGCGGCAAGCTCGTCAGAAGAAACGGGAAAAGGCTCAGATATAGGCGACAACCTTGGTCGGGTAAGAATATCTTATCATAATCCAATTCTTTGTTCCATTTAATCCTTGTCGCTTCAACTAAATCGACGCGTCTACGCTCCTCGTCGAAAAGATAGCTCAGGTGTGCTATCTTTAATTTCTCAATGAGGCATGTAAAAATTTTTGTCCATGACATCTAATATCAAAATATTATGTACACGTAATATGCGGCTCGCTGGATATAAGCTACAATATCGCAAATGTTTGTAGACAACAACGGAAAACTGCTCCGTACCAAGGTCGAAATGATAGCACACTCTGTTAATATGTTTAGAAATTGCTCAGTATTTCATCATCTACCAACGAGTAAAGATTACATCACAATATTATATAAATTTGTACCTATGGGACGCGGAAAAAAATTAAACCAGTTCGAAAATTTATCATTTCAATAATCGGAAATTCTAACAGAAATCTTTAATATTTCTGTAAACATGTAAATAAATGCTAAAACATTGAGGTTTTCTTCTTTACGAAGCAACGGAGAAAGATTTTGTTCACTTTGTATCGAGTTTCTGTCTTTCTTTATGTTTTGTATATTTTAATTATCAAGATTTTATTCTGGGTCGCCCGCGAGCCCCGCAATATTACTTGGAAAATTGCTCGAAAAATAGAAATATTACTCGAAAAATTACTCGTACCGGTTAAATATAATACTGCACATGCGATAATCACATGTGAACGATAATCTTCGACGCATTGAGAACAATCTTGCAAACAGGGGCGCCTGTCAAGATCGGTTGCTGCGATAAGGGTTAAGATATTCGAGTAGGCTCGATGATTCTAATCTGTTGCGATTCCCGGCACGTTACAGCGAGACTGTTCGACTACTTCGACTCGGGAGTGATGGAAGGTCTCCAGCACAGGTTACTGCAGATGGCGAAATCGAGGACGCAAGGTCGCCTCGCCGAGACACCAGGAAACTCGATGGCCCTAACTAGTCAAGTAAGCGAAGCTTCGGAAAACTACGTGTCGCGCCAAGATCAGGGGATTAATCGCGGCTGGTTCTGGTTTACAGGTTTTAGCTCGAAGAGTGGAATTGGACGGCAAGACTAAAGTGCTGTTGCGGTGGTACCCTCCAGACATGTAAGTGTTCGAAATCGTCCGGTAACTTCGTTACCATTTGGAGCTGAAAAGCCGACAGTCGGGACGTCGTTGTATCGGATCGCTGCAAATGGGCAACGTTGAATTATTCGTTCAGTAATGTCGTGTTCAGAAGCAGGATTAACATCGACCTGCGAGTACCTAGAGATTCCTAGATCCATAACTGTTGCATTTGCTCGCGATCAGTTGACCTTTCAACGACGTCCGTGAAACTGGTGACATCTTTTCGGCTCTGAATAGCAAGCGTGTTTTTTTACCGTGACCGAACNCCAGTTCGAAAATTTATCATTTCAATAATCGGAAATTCTAACAGAAATCTTTAATATTTCTGTAAACATGTAAATAAATGCTAAAACATTGAGGTTTTCTTCTTTACGAAGCAACGGAGAAAGATTTTGTTCACTTTGTATCGAGTTTCTGTCTTTCTTTATGTTTTGTATATTTTAATTATCAAGATTTTATTCTGGGTCGCCCGCGAGCCCCGCAATATTACTTGGAAAATTGCTCGAAAAATAGAAATATTACTCGAAAAATTACTCGTACCGGTTAAATATAATACTGCACATGCGATAATCACATGTGAACGATAATCTTCGACGCATTGAGAACAATCTTGCAAACAGGGGCGCCTGTCAAGATCGGTTGCTGCGATAAGGGTTAAGATATTCGAGTAGGCTCGATGATTCTAATCTGTTGCGATTCCCGGCACGTTACAGCGAGACTGTTCGACTACTTCGACTCGGGAGTGATGGAAGGTCTCCAGCACAGGTTACTGCAGATGGCGAAATCGAGGACGCAAGGTCGCCTCGCCGAGACACCAGGAAACTCGATGGCCCTAACTAGTCAAGTAAGCGAAGCTTCGGAAAACTACGTGTCGCGCCAAGATCAGGGGATTAATCGCGGCTGGTTCTGGTTTACAGGTTTTAGCTCGAAGAGTGGAATTGGACGGCAAGACTAAAGTGCTGTTGCGGTGGTACCCTCCAGACATGTAAGTGTTCGAAATCGTCCGGTAACTTCGTTACCATTTGGAGCTGAAAAGCCGACAGTCGGGACGTCGTTGTATCGGATCGCTGCAAATGGGCAACGTTGAATTATTCGTTCAGTAATGTCGTGTTCAGAAGCAGGATTAACATCGACCTGCGAGTACCTAGAGATTCCTAGATCCATAACTGTTGCATTTGCTCGCGATCAGTTGACCTTTCAACGACGTCCGTGAAACTGGTGACATCTTTTCGGCTCTGAATAGCAAGCGTGTTTTTTTACCGTGACCGAACGTGGAATTTTCTGAACAGCGAGCCGGACGAGTGGGTGCTCGAGTCCGAGGTCCGGACCACGAAGAACGTGGCGATACGGAAGGTGGCAGATGCGAACCCGGAAGAGGTCGGCGTGGCCCTGTACTCGGCGATAAGCGGCGGCGCGCCGCCAACGGCGCGGACGAAGCAGCGCCGGAAACCGGTCAAGAACTCGTGATAATGCCGGCCACGATGATCGAGGACAAGTGTGACGAAGCAGCGAGACGAGTAAGCCAGAATTAGGGACGAGTCCTGCATCAGGGCGATTGTGCTTCCTGGTCTGTGTAAAGGAGGGGAGCCTGGCGAGGGATCCGGAGCCTGAACGTGTCCAGAGGAACGACCGGAGTTAGACGTGTTCCGTTTGCGTGGGAGAGACGAAGGGGAGACGGGAGACAGACAGAAAGATCAGGAGCGATCGGCGAAGGGAGAGTGAACGGATCGGCAGACGAATCCAAGACGAAGACTACAGAAGACACAGATCGGAGAGGGGATACACACGGGTCCGCGACGAGTCGTTTGAGCGGTCGCGGATCGGATCGGATCGGGACGAAACGTTGAAGGGGCGAATGAAACGGCGAACAGAAAAGAGCGCAGACTTCCCGGACGACGGAAGGAGGAACAATACATTCTAATTTATTTAGCCTAAATCCATCGGGATGGTCGTTAGGTAAATAATATAGTAGTCGTGGATAGCGATGAAGAGAAAAAAAAAGGATATTCTTGTTGCCTATCGATATTGAAAATCTCCATACGTTTGGGGTCGATTCCTGCCTGCGTGTCCGCGGGTCGCCCGTTTCGATCGTGGCGGAAACGGCGTTCGTCGGGCCCCGAAGAGGTAGGTGGGCTTGGGCCTCGAAAGTGCCTCTCACCGTGGATACGTTTTATATCATTGACCGCCGTGCAAGACCAATGATCGAAGACGGCGGACAGTTGAATTTAATAATGGAATTTAAGGAGCAGAGGGTGTACCGCAAAACATAAAAGCACGTTGTAGAAGAGCACGAAGAAGAACCGCAGAGACACTGCGACGGAGATTTTACTACGAAGGAGATAAGAGAAGCGAACAAAAGAATTAAGAAAAAAAAAACAAACTGTTAAACGTTAGTTAACGCGTCGTGTAAGGAGATAATCACTCTGGTGGCCTTAGGAATCAATTAATATCTAGATGCGGCCCCTTGGCGCTTCCGGGTCCTGTTTAAACTACTCCGTGACAGAAGCCAGAAGATAAGGGGCGACGATGGGGGGGTGCGTGAAACGGGAAACATTTTCGACTCATCCTAGACCCTCGAGACCAACTTACGAAAGGAGATGCATCTACCTCGATCTTCGGCTCGGTAGAAATTTCCGCTGGCCGTTGTCGCGCGCGCGACAGGGGGAACACTAGGAAAGGAACAAGCACTCTGCATCACTCTGTTTCGAAGAATAAACAGAAATAGAGGCACGATTAGGCTCGTCACCCGATATATCGAGAATCTCGGCAGAAGAGGACCGCTCGGACGACCAGCCAACGAGATTTCTATCGAGGTATATCCGTATTAGTTATTTTGGAGAGAAGGAGGGTGTACAAAACGAGTGAAAAACAAACGGAATAACGAAGCTCCGCCTATTTTTTACGATCCACGCGCAGAAAAGCGAACGACCGTTCGACGATAACCTTGTTTCTTTCCATTTACCCCCCCGTCTCTCGTTGTTATCTATCGAGGCGGCGTCCCGAGATGTCGTCGCCGAAGCAGGAATACAATATCTCCAGATCGAGTTTTTCGACCAGCAGCAACCGTTTTTTTCATTTTCGCCATCGTTCTCATCGAGTTACCGAGAAGATCGACACACCGACACTGCCTCAGTTCGAAGCATCCGCGCGACGAACATCACTCGCTCGATTCAGAGACGAGACAGCACAAGCGAGTCCGGGATCGGAAGCGGATCGGAAGCGAATGTTTTGCTCTCTGTACAGGGGGATAAAGAAACAAGATGGCTGTGCGACATTTTCCACGGAGTTACTGCACGGGGGATCTATGCGAAAACTAGAAGAAAGATGCAGACAAAGGAGGAGGAGAAGAAGAGAAGGAGGAGGAGGAGGAAGAAAATGGAGAATGAAGATTCTGACCGACAAAGAGGAAGAAGGAGGACAGGAGGGTAGACCCGCGCGCAGAAGACGCGCTATTTTCATAGATCAGTAGACAGGACCGAGAGAACGTAGGAGTATTATGCTACTCTAACTTCTGACATCGTGGAACAATGTGATCGCGCACATGTACACATATATATTCTAGTGGATACGAAAACACAAAAAAAAAATAATGAACACTTGTAAATTAAGAGAAGAGAGAAAGCGAGAAACGGTTAGAGGATACGTGTTGCCGATGACGTGTTGTGTGGCTAAGCACGGCGAGAGAATGTGTACAGAGATAGGGAGCGAAAGAGAGGGAGAGAGAGAGAGAGAGAGAGAGAGCGAGCGCGAGCGAGTGAGTGTGAAAGAGAAATAGTTGGAACACACACGGACGGAAACACACCTTCACACACCAGCTGAGAAACACTGCCAATACGATTGTAATTAAGAACTCTAGGCTAATTGATCGATTAATTATTCTTATTATTATTATTACGATTATACGTGTAATCCGATAGATCTCTAGCTGCCGCGGACGTACGAGAGGCGCGCGCGTCCCGCTCGCCACCGTCAACACTTCATTTTGTAAACCCGCGTGTACATACTTAGTCGAAATTATTGATGCATCGCCCCCCGACGGCGATCAGCCTATCAGCTTGCGACTTCAAGCGGAGGAATGATTGTTCTTTTTAATCCGGAAGCCACTCGTGTTCGAGGAAACGATGTTCGCGCCAGCATTCACATGAAACACCGGACAACGCTTTCTTTCATGCAGGATCGTCTTAGAAGTCCCGTCAATTCCTTTTTTTTCTTAATTAACGAACGAGTTCGTAGAGAATTGTACTTTCAATAAGAAAGTTGATCATTCGCTGAGCTTTCAAGTGACTATTTTATTTGTAATTTCGTAGCACCTGAAGCTTAACGCAGTACCCACCGATCACTTTTCACAGCTTCACACAGCCAGGTTCTTAATGAACTTTACCGTACCATGTAATTTCCGAAGTGTTCTATCGATTCCGAAGTGTTCAATCGTTCCCGAAGTGTTCAGTCATTTCCGACGGAGATTCTAGTGTTCAGCTTTCGTCCAGAGCTTTCTGTGAATGGTGCCGCGAGAGCCGCGAGGACCCGTGTGATTTTCGGGATCGAATCGAACGACGCGGACATTCAGAGAGAAAGACAAAGACAAAGATCAAACAAGAACGCGTCACTGCCAAAAATCGCGCACTGCCACCCACAATCGACAAGCCTTATATTTCACCGCCACATCGATCCGCGTCGATCGTTTTCGATCCAGCAAACTCGCGGGCCATCCTCGCGATCGTTGTTCGCATCGATCCCCCTCACATCGTCGAGACACACCACCGCCTACTGCCAACCACCGACGTCGACGGACGCGAACCAAGGCACTGCCATCGAAGCAAAACAGAGAACAGACGTGAAAAGACATATATATACATATATATATACATGGTCCTGAATGTGTATGTATATTTATAGCCGTATCTTTCTGTGTATACGCGCGATCATCCCCCGTTCTCAGGCGCGCGACCGATCGATTTTCCATTCTCCCGCGCTTTTCACTGCCGCGTTTTCCTCTTTTCACACCCGTCGCCGTGACACGATTATTTTCCTCGTTAACGCGACACGGTCGTCCCCTCTTTTACGCGCCGCCTCCCCTCTCTCCCCCTGTCCCCGTGTCTCATTCCGTTTTTTGGCATGTACCCTCGGTGCCATAATGTCGTCACGCTAAGTTCCTCCGCGGTTCGTTCGCCGGTTCTCTTCATTCATCGGTCCTTTAAACTCGTGGCGCGATCGCGATCGCCGTTTCCCTCTCGGTCCACTCTCGTCGCGTTTCTTCGGATCGGAAAGTTGTTCTTATCACGGCTGGGACCAATCTCGCGCGTATCCGTTCCTCGGCGAGGATTCAGAGTTCAGAGTTTCCCCGGAGATATAGTCTATACGATCGCTAGGATCATCGAAGCTGCGTTTTCATCGGATAGAAAAGCAATCGAACGATTCGTCGGCGCAACGTTCGCACGATTCACGGGGGTGGAACGGCGGGGAAGACTGTCGGCCACACAGTCGCGCTTGATCTCTCGTGGTAATTTAACCTCGGCGTGAAATACTTCGGCGCGGAAACGCCCGCCCCAAATTTTCTCTAGAAACGTCGCGTCGCCTAGATCATCGGTTAGACATTTTTCCAGTTAGTATTTAATTCGAGTACGCTCGGAATTCGTTTTCGTACATTCGTGTCGGACGTTCGACGAGGAAAATCCTGTTCCGCGACCGCGAAAAGAGGCAAACCATCTGGACAGACAGGAGGGGAGGGGGGCTGGGGGACGATCGCGCGTCCCAGGATTTACCGTTCGACTCGAGACCGATTTCACCCGTACGCTTCTCCTCCCCAAGACGACCGCGCGTAGATATATTCCCCGTTTCGTAACCATCCCTCCGGCCCCCTTTCCTTTCATTTCATTTTTTTTTTATATCGAGGGTTTTTTCGTGTTATACTGACTTTTACCCGCGCGACTTTGTAGCTGTAAATGTATATTTTAGCGAGGCGTTGTAAAGATTTTGCGTAAGATAAGGTGTAGATAATCGCCGGGCTGTCCGGGGAGGCTCGCCGCGAGTGGACTCCCCGGCGGCCGACGCTGCGTTTGTACATGTGTAAAACGTGTGAACGATACGAAGAGTGACGCTGCGCGAGGGGAAGAGAAAGAGAGAGAGAGAGTGAGAGAGAGAGAGAGGGGCGCGGGGTGCACGCTGTAAATAAGAGACGCGATCGATAGAACGAGCCAAGTATCGGGCATCGGTTGATCAGTTTATTTCGACGAAGCGTTTCCTCGAATGTCTGACGTGTCTGTACAGTATCGCGGACTAAAAGTTTTCGTCGCGAACGAAATTCGCCGGAGCTTGGACCGCGCCGCTGAAACTCGCGGGAATCGCGCGGAACGATCGAGAAACGAGGCCAGGTGTGGACACCGTATTTTTGCAAATCTAGAGAAAAAAGGACACGTTAGATGAACGCGGGAACCGATTAAACGGTAGGAGGGGATTATATCGTCGGAAATTCCTCCCTCTCTCTCTCTCTCTCCCTCACTCTCCGCGCTGATTCATTGTCGGCTCGACTGTCGCGTTCCCTTTGACTGTGTTCGAAAGCACGAGCAAATCATCATCCCCTTCTCTTTTGAAGCGTCGCGACGCCAGCGAGATCGTTTTACCGAAATCCGGTTTCAACGTAGAAAACCGGCGTTGGCGATCGATCATTCTCCTTCCACGAAGGCCGACGATTGCTCGGAGAGAATTCCCGCCATCGACCCGGCCATCGATCCGCCCTCGAGTACGAGCTTTCCCGTCGGAAGCCCCATTGTTCGATTTTCCGCGATTCAGAAAGTTCCCCGCGTTGTTTTCACCCGCGCGCGCGCTCGAGACAGCGGGACACTCGTCAGCTATAAATACGGTCTAACGCGTCGCCAACTATCGAGACCTGCGAATAGAAACGTACTCAAGGGTTAAATCGATCCGGCTCGAGACGCTCGACGTGCCAGCGGCGACGGAACGAGAAGCCGCGCGCGATCCGCAGACCAATCGATCGATATTCTCGCCCACCGTTCTTCAAATTCTCGTCAACCGAGGTGAATTCGCGCAGACAAAGGATCACCTCGCGACCTCCGCGACCCTTCGGTTCCCGTCCCGCTGGCAGTCCCGAGCCGCGCGGGCGAGTCCTTCGTAACCGCGTTCTGCGATCGGTCGAGGAGAAGATGGAAGAGCGAAGCGCCGATCAACCGGTCGCTCGGCGGCTTTCCGGTTTTCACGGCTCTCGGAGAACGCCCGGCGTCGTTCGTCGCGCAGCGAGACATGACTTGTAAATGTACAAAGAGTATAAACGAAAATAAACGTAGTGGACTTGGATGACTGGGTTTCCGGGGGACGGGGTTGACACGGTGCGCGCGGCATATGGGACGAAAAATTCTATTTTTCGAAGTTGCCCTGGTCCGCGGGGATCGGTCGAAACCGGTAGGAAATGTAAATACAATGCCCGGGACGCGGCGCGGCTCGGCTTTTCCTCGGGCGCCGCGCCCGGCTAGCGTACGGTGGATATAGTGTTTGCATTTATTATAAAGTCTATGTAAAGCGTGTGACGAGGGCAGCGGTCGTGACGACTGGTTCCCGACCGATCTTTTCGATGAAGATCGCCGGACGTGTTTCCGGCCGCGCCGGTGCCGCGAAATCGTGATTGGATCGGCGACGATTTTCCCCGACCGGTGACGTTATCGTTCTCGCGTTTTCCTCTGCTCTCGAATGTCCGTCACGAGCGCTGCGGAGTCGCCCTCTGTTTAGAGAAAGGATGGCTTGCCTCTTGCATAAAACAAGTAGAGAAATAGATCGCATAGTTTCAGGTAATACGAGTTCTAGGCTGTAGCGATCGCTCGTCGTCGCCTCGACTCGCGCGCGTTTCGAGAGTTCGATGGAAAACACAGCCCGACGTGGAAAACAAACGTCGTCGCGGAGAGGAGAGGGGAAACGTGCACGCGCGTCGAACACATCCGACCGAGTTTCCCCGATCGGGAATCGGTGAACAATCGGAAAGCAGAGCGCTCTTTCACCAGTGAAAACTGGAAAGCCCACCTCCTGCCGTTTTTTTTTAACCCGAGAGCGTTCGTCGCGTGACGCGTCAAACTCGATCGCTTGCTTCTTCGCCGACCTATTTTTCGAGCGATCCCGAGGATGTGGCAGCGCAATCTGTGATTAACCTCATCAAGGATACCGTCGCGGCCGGGTAATCTCGTTCGCGTTTGACATTAACACGTTAACTACCGCGTCCATCGGACACGGGTGACACGATTCGGCTGTAAAACCCGAGACCAGCAGGGTCAGCAAGGGCTGCGGCTTTCTAATTTCGTTTTCGTTCTTTTTCTTTTTTTTTCTTTTAACGACTACCCTGATTTCAGTCTTCGGAATTGCTTCCAGCCTTCTTCACTCTCCACCTTCTCCATGCTTCTTTAAATTGTCGCACTTTTCCTTCTTCTTCTTCTTTGTCTTCCCGGCTTCCTCTCCCCGACGCTTTAGCTACCAGCAACTTATTAATAGACTCCCTAAAGACTGCGCTATAGTAGCTTAACGCCTAACTTCCTTTCTAAGGATAATCTCCGGACAATTTCGTCGCTCGATTAGGGCAGTGCCGCCGGTTACTATAGAGTGACAAATCGCTGTACCTTTGGTTTGTTTTTAGTTGTTATTATCCCTATATTTAACGAGTAAGACGTATTCAATTTCGTTGTTCTTTTATTTCGCTAATTTTTCCATACAAAAGATTACCTCGCAGTATTAACACTTAGCCAATCGAATTGGGGAGATCTCTCCGTTTTAAATTCGGTCGATTGATGATAATTTTATTGAGATTCGCAAGAGATACGAATGCTGAGTAAGTAATTGATGCCATATAAGTTTGCTTTGTAATTTTTGTTTCAATCAATGAAATATTTGAATTTTATGATAATTTTTGATTAGTTTCTAGCGCGGTCTTGGAAGTATTAAAATTATTCGACAATTGAGTAAAAAACTACGCTAAAGTAATCGGCTCCACTAACTCTATTTGTCTTTGGTTTTCGAGCCGTTGAATATGTTCCCTTGGACCCCTTTGACGCGACAAACTTATAACTTCGTTAGAATCGGCGTACATTCGGTTACAAAAGGACTGACGAAAGATTCGACTGTTCGAGCGTGAATCTCGAAATCGATAGAAACCAAGAAATCAGTTCCGTAATTTAAGCATTATCTCGTCCCGTTGTTTGCGCTGCCACGTCGCTCCTGGCAGTGAGAAATGCCACAGCTTCGCACTGCCAAACGGAGAAGGAAAAATGGGAGCTCGCGTTCGTCTCGCGTTCTGGATCGATCTTGCGAGCGATCGTCGGAAGCACCGCGGTGTTCATTGATCCACAGTAGTGGTACGCTCCACGGAGGACTAAATAAGAAACGAGAAAAACGGAAATGCGTAAAAAAAATAAGTGGTACTACCTAGGCGAGAAAGCGTACGCGGAGATTTTTTTAACGAGAACCCTTGTCGAGCGTTGACTCGGAGGAGAAAGAAAAAATACAAGCGTCGGACAGTGCTTTGGACTTTTTCGATACTTTCATGTACAAAACACGAACGATTTATAGCTCAATGAGAACATTAAAGAGACAGATATTGTAAGAGAGTAATAATAATTTCACGGTTACGATATCGTACACGGTGTCCACTTTAATGACCACCCAAATCCTTCGTTGCACCTCTTTCTCGCCGCGTTCGTTCGATCGGAAGCTACTATCCTAATCGTCCGTGTTCGTTCGATGAAATTCAAACGATCGCGGCCGCGGCGACAGAGAGCAGCTCACGATCGAATCGATCACCGGATGATCAATCTGATCATCGGAAGCGTGAAAGCAGATTTCGCGTTGCCCAGCGAACTATCACACGCATCATAAACCTAATAGAAAATCGTAAACTTGTTATCGATGGTTCTCGCCAATGCATCGGCTGCAATTGCACCGTGGATTTAACGCGTCCACCGGTGCATTCGATCTTCCGCGAAGTAATGCAGTTCGATGGTGAATAAACGTTGGCAAACAATTCAATTCAGTTTCGGTAAGTCACTGCTACTACTCTACGAACGGTACAGACGCACACGCTAGCACGTTACTTTGGATTATCCGCGACCCAGCCATCGCATCGAACTTCCATTAAGTTGTTACGTAAATTCGTCCCGTTTTTGTTACTTAATTGCGTAACAATGCTTCGCCGACTCGTTAGCAACTTCACGCCGTTTCACGTCACTTTAAAGTTCTGCTTTCAGTGATTATTTCTGCGGAAGCTGTGTGTTTCACGATCGGCGGTCATTACCATTGTTTATAAAAGTTTCAAATGCCGACAAAGACACATTTTCGACACGTTTTGCTTTTTTCCCGGGGCAAAGGTAAACATTCGTCAAGAACGTGGAATTGACGAATCAACGGGATGGAAATGGTTCCGAAAATTTGCAGATGGATTCAGACTCGAAAGGTATGCGCCTCGTTCTCTGCGCCCTGTGACAACAGATTCTGCACAAATTATATTTATATTTTTATTTATATTTATTTTATATTATATATTATATTATTTTATTTATCTTTTTTTTATTTTATATTTCTGCATAAATTATAAGGCCTTCGTTAACAATAATCGTCAGCTAACGACACGCGGTATCGCGGAAAGGTTAAAAATATCCGCCGCGACGGTTTCAAGGTGTATTCGTGATCTTGGAACGGCAAGGACGACACGATTGATGCCGCGACCTAATATTTATCGGAGAGGCTCGATATTATAATAATATTAAACGTCGCCGACTCCTGGCCCGTGCCTCGAGCTGCGCGCAAGCTGCCAGTTGGCCGTCACGTGTCAATTGCGAAGGTCCTGCAGGATGGAAAGGTTGGAGGATCCGAAGCACCGGGACAGAGAAAGTACATACACACGCCGCTTGGCCGGGGCACGTTCGCCTGAAATATTGGTGCAAAGGTGCACGGCGGTTTACGGAGACGCGGCTCGCTTCCGTTTCCGGCACGAACCAGCCCGCTGACAGGGAACACGATATTCCCTTGGGCAGTAAAGCTACAGGAAACCCGATCCTTGTTCCAGGATCGGCCCTCCTCCGGACAACCTGTTGGCCACGCTGAAACGACGTCGGGCCGGCGCGCTCTCGCCGAGAAATTCGATAAGCATCGGCTCGCGTGCCTTTTTACGGATGAGCAAAATTCGTATCGATCATGCGAGAGGGTAAAAATGATGATATAATTAGCCGGCGACGGTGTACGGTTACCGACCGACTCTATGCCCAGTTTTTTCTTCTCTTCTGCTTCTTCTTCGTCCTCTTCTTCGTCTTCCCTCCCGTTGTCCCAATTGGCTCGCGGACTCGTTAATTACGGCTCGATGATCTCCGGGCCGCGACGATGAGCCGAACGGACAAACCGCGTTACCGTCGTGTCGCGTCAAGATCATCCGATCTTTCTCGAGGTCGGGACCCCTTGCCGCGATCTACCCTTTGCCGTTCCATTATGCTTTCCGCTTCCGCGCCTGCCTTCTGCGAACGCTGTGCCTGAAACGGACAGATGGCAGAAGGCGACGGATCCGCGAGAAAATCTTCAAGCTGACTAAAATCGAAAGTTAACGGAACTCTTTAGAATATACGGCGGCAGCTATCGAACTTGCAACACGGAGAGACGGTGGAAAAATTTAATTATGGTATACAGGGATTGAGAATGATACTTTGAGATCGATCTTGAAGAATCGAGACGGAATTTCAAGTGTTGTTTGACCTATTAACCCTTTACTTGATGACTTCATATACTGATGATACCGATGATGACGATGATACCGAGGAATTCTGGTAGCAATTCTTTCTCTGAAAGGAGCTTCGCGTATCAAAAGTAGAAGTTTCGTAGTGAGACCAGTTTATTGTTTATTGTTTCAAGCTGCGGATTTCAGGCATTTGTGACAGAAATTTATAGATCGAACGAAAGGACAATATACGTTTAAATAATTTGAAAATATTGTTGCACTACTGTCAACTGATTAAAATCATTCAGAAAAGAAATAAATGTCCACGTAGACTCCTGTATCTTGTAATTAGTGCAGACAATTTTAATTTTGCATAAAAATCCGCAGTCTAATTACAACAGTTCGACAATTTCTATTTACAGGATGTTCCATAATTATGTGAACACCTGGAAAGGGACGATTCCTGAAGTCATTTGAAGAAATTTTTTCCTTTGCCAAAATGTAGTCCGCGGCTTTGTTCACGAGTTATTAACGAAAAACAATGGTCATTGGTCAATGTGAGATCGGCTGACACGAGGCGACGAGCGGTCGAAACCCAGTTTGGCTCATTGGCTCGGCCGCCTCGCGCCAGCTGATCTCGCCTCTCATTGGTCACTGTTTTTCGTTAATAACTCGCAAACAAAGCCGCGAGCTGCTTTTTCGCTAAGGAAAAAGTTTCTTCAAATAACCTCAAGAATCACCCATTTCCGGTTGTTAACATAATTATGGGACACCCTATGTAGACTGCGTATTTATACAACTGAGGATCAGTAAAACAATTTAATCCTATTATCCTCCGAGTTCGTTTAATCTTTTAACGCACAAATATTTTCATCTATACATCCCAGGACAATAAATTAATTTTTAAAATGTCACTTAACTGTATATACTTAAAAAATGAATCACAGTTTCAAACTTAATCCCTCGCACTGTAGCAACGAGTCAGACACGCGACGAACATTTCGTACACAATCCAGTAAATATGAATACTATTTCTTGTAATTCAAAATTACCGTTTCTTGTAACTCGAAACAAAATTTGATTAATCGAATTAAAACTTGATTAATCGAATTAAAACTTGATTGATCGAATTAAAACTTGATTAATCGAATTAAAACTTGATTAATCGAATTAAAACTTGATTAATCGAATTAAAATTTGATTAATCGAATTAAAATTTGATCAAAGTTATCAAAGTTGAGAAATAACGGCAAATGAAAGCACAGATGAGATTAGAATTGTCTCGTTCGATCAGAGAAATTATGAAGACGAAGAAGTGCTAATCCAACGCAGTTACGAAAGAAATCGTAGCACAATGGGGTTAATAAAGTTTATACGAGTTCGAGGGGTTGAGATCGATCATCGAGTCGTGTAAAAGCGAAAATTGTTGTTTAACCTTCGAACCCTGTAACACAGCAAATATCGCTGCCCCAAATGCAGCATTGTTCCGCGTGGGGACGTTCGCGCCCCTGTCTGCTAATTTCTCCGACTTTGCGGAGCAGCTAAAGGGTGCAGATTGCTCCGAGGGTCACAGCCACGGCGCCGTCGAAAGTGAGAGCAACGAAGCCGGAGCACTCTAGGTTAAAAGGGAGTCGAATAGACCGTGTTTCGCCGTGTTTTCTTCGATTTGCCGTAAACGCGTCGGGCCCAGGGATGCGGTCGAAGCGGCGCCGGTAGCTGATCGTCTCGCAGAAGGAGCGCCCGTTCCCTCGGTAATCTAATAACAATTAACAGGCCACGGCGGCTTTAAATCGGTTTTTCCGAGCGCCTCCGCCGTTTCCGTGTGTACAGTTATTCCCATTATTCTCGGACGCGGCGCGACGGTTGAATTCCCGTAAGGGGAAAGCGGTGGCGCAAAGAAGTTGCCAGCGTGCTTGTTGGCCGGTTGCACCGTATGCACCGTCTGCGCCGTATGCACCGGGGGCCAACGAAACGAGGTATCGGCGCGGCTGCGATCGCAGACGACGGCAAAAAGAAAAACGGGGCGGGGAAGAGAAGACGATGAAGAAGAGGGAGAAGTAAGTCGGCCGGGAAAAAGCCGGGACGGTAATCGGAAGACGCGACCGATTGTTGATTTACTCGGTCGGCTTGGAAATACTGTTTACCAGCTGCCCGAAGAAAGAACGGGAAGAAGACCTGGAATGGTAATGGTAATGGTACCGGTGCAGAACGTCGGGAACGCGGATTATACGAGCGTCCGTCCGTTTCTTGCGTTTGTTCCCCCACCTTCGGGGTCTGCTACCCCATCGACGTCGTCCTCCTCGTCGTCGAGTTTCTTCGACGAGCTCTCGTGTACAGTTAAGGAGACGACGACGCCGCGATGAAATTGACCCGGCCCGTTGTCCCACGGTCGTTGACATTTCGTCTTACCAACGAACGGCGCTGTCGCGATTATTCGAATCTAATTTCGCCGGGGATCTGCCGACGCGCAGCTGCCGAACTCGGGCTGAATTCGCTATCGACGGCCCGCAGAAAATCCGAATCGCGTACTCAACGAATACGGAGATGGCTTTTTCTGTTCGAGATACACCTATCACAATTTACTTGGTCACCCGGTGCTTGATCTTTGACTCCCAAATGGTCAAATGCTTCCTTCGTGCTTCTGAGAGTTATAATATTTTTTTTTTATTAATGTACTTGCATGGTAATAAGCTTGCGTCGGTGACTTAACATTAATGTCATCGTGTTAATGTTATTAAAATTACAATATTGTTTTCGTAAAAATGTTGGAAAGATACAGATCCGTAACTCGTATGGGGTGCCGTCGTCGAAGTGTTGATTGAAATTACGTTAGAATAAAACCGAAGCTTTTTGCGACAGTTACGCCATTTTGAAGGAAACGCGATAAAGCAAGGATTGATTTAAGAGTTTGAAGTAACTAACTGATTTTGAAATAGGA